AGATAGATAGATAGATGATAGATAGATAGATAGATCTCTCTTTTTGTAGCAGGAACTCCTTTGCATGGTAGGCGACACACCCCTAATGTAGCGAATCCTCCAAGAGCTTACAGAGCTCTTCTTACAGGGGCTACTGTAAGCTCTTGGAGGATTGGCTACATTAGGGGTGTGTCGCCTAATATGCAAAGGAGTCCCTGCTACATAAAGAGCCCTGGATAGATAGATAGATAGATAGATAGATAGATAGATAGATAGATAGATAGATAGATAGATAGAAGTAGCCACTGTAAGAAGAGCCTCTGTAAGCTCTTGGAGGATTGGCTACATTAGGGGCGTGTCGCCTAATATGCAAAGGAGTTCCTGCTACAAAGAGAGCCTGTGATTTTCCACAGAACCCCTCTCCTCCCTTCTGTTGCCCTGGCCTGTCCCCTGGCACAGGGTTGCCTCTCGGTGCACCCCACTCACCTCTGCCACTACAGCTGCAGCAGGATGTGAGACAGGGCAGGCCTGGATGTGTGACCCACTGGTTGCTTGGCTGGGAGGCACAGTGAGCCTTCCCTTGCTGTGCAATGTGTACCTGCATAGCTACATGCCATACATAGCTATGTATGGGGAGGTGGAACTCCTCAAGTGCTGCTCTGGGCAGGCTGCACATGAGTTCCAGTGGCACAGCATAACCAGTCCTTTGCCAGCAAGGCCTCTGCACTCTGCCATTAGAACATAAGAGAAGCTAAGGTTGGATCAGGCCAATGGCCCATCCAGTCCAACACTCTGTGTCACACAATGGCCAGAAATACCAGGTGCCCCCAGGAGGTCCAGCAGTGGGGCCAGGACACTAGAAGACCTCCCACTGTTGCCCCCCCCCCAAGGACCAAGAATACAGTGCATCACTTGCCCCAGCCTGAGAGTTCCTATCTATACCTTGTGGCTAATAGCCACCGATGGACCTCTGCTCCATATAAGAACATAAGAGACGCCAATGTTGGATCAGGCCCATGGCCCATCCAGTCCAACACTCTGTCACACAGTGGCCAAAAATACCAGGTGCCCCCAGGAGGTCCAGCAGTGGGGCCAGGACACTAGAAGACCTCCCACTGTTGCCCCCCCCCAAGGACCAAGAATACAGTGCATCACTTGCCCCAGCCTGAGAGTTCCTATCTATACCTTGTGGCTAATAGCCATCGATGGACCTCTGCTCCATATAAGAACATAAGAGACGCCAATGTTGGATCAGGCCCATGGCCCATCCAGTCCAACACTCTGTCACACAGTGGCCAAAAATATCAGGTGCCATCAGGAGGTCCAACAGTGGGGCCAGGACACTAGGAGCCCTCCCACTGTTGACCCCCCCCCCAAGCACCAAGAAGACAGAGCATCACCTGCCCCAGAGTTCCTATTCATACCTTGTGGCTAATAGCCACTGATAGACCTCTGCTCCATATGCTTATCTAATTCCCTCTTGAAGCCGTCCATGCTTGTAGCTGCCACCACCTCCTGTGGCAGAGAATTCCATGTGTTAATCACTCTTTGGGAGAAGAAGGACTTCCTTTTATTTGTTCTAATCTGACTGCTCAGTAATTTCATGGAGTGCCCACGAGTTCTTGTATTGTGAGAAAGGGAGAAAAGTACCTCTTTCTCTACCTGCTCTATCCCATGCATAATCTTATAAACCTCGATCGTGTCACCCTTCAGCCATTGTCTGTATGCATTGGTCAGAGGCCATATCAGCATATTCTTATCAAGCTCTATGGGTGTGTGAAAGTGGAGAACAAGCGTTTCCCCAGATACCTAATATAACTGAGAAGACCCCTATCTCACACAAACACATTTAGACTTGGACAGATAAAGAAGCACAGCTCTCAGCTGATTTGCACTTAGAGCGTTTAGCTGGATGTAAGATTGAAAACTAAAGCTAAATAAAGGGTAGGGGTGTCGCGGAAGCAAGACATACCAAAGGCAGTTTTGTCAAGTCTTACATATATTTTAAAACCCTTACATTCTCAATGATGGATGTTAGTGAAACAGAGGGGCTTGCTAAAGCATCTAAAGAACTCCTCAGCATGAGGCACTAGGAGGCAGAGCTGGAAACCAGCCAGGCAGTTGAAATGAACTCCTCAATCCACAAGGACTAGTAATCTACTGCAAAGCACCCTTCTGTGCACAGCACAGGAAGCTTTTGCAGCCTCTAAAATACAAAATCATTTATTTTTCTTGTTCTAATAATACACAAGTGTGTATTGATAGGTAAAGTTACGTTTTAGGAATTTGGGGGGGGGTAGGCTCAAGTGGTTAAGATGCTGAACTGCAGGCTGTGGAAGGTCGGTAGTTCAGCAGTTCGAGACCCGACTGTGCCGCATGATGGAGTGAGCTCCCGTCTCTAGTTCCAGCTCCTGCCGACCTAGCAGTTCGAAAGCAAGAAATTGCAAGTAGATAAATAGGTACCGCTTGAGTGGGAAGGTAACAGCGTTCCGTGCGCCTCGGTGTTTAGTCATGCCAGCCACATGACCACTGAAACGTCTTTTGACAGCACTGGCTCTTCGGCTTGGAAATGGAGATGAGCACTGCAAGCCTAGAGTCAGATTCGACTGGCTTTCGAGCAAGGGAAACCTTTACCTTTACCTTTTTAGGCTCCTTTCAGTTTGCTTCTATTATGCCTAAACAAGCATAAATTATTTTTTAATGTGTAATATTTCCACAGGAAGCAGTTTCTTCTCACTTACGGTATAGGTTGCACAGGTGATGTATCTCTGCATGCCTCCCTGTATCCTAGAATTTACAATTATTACAATGGGATTTTGAGGTGGCATCCTAACATGGAATAACATGCAAGATCTAGACAAGTACCCGGACACAATTATACTTCGGTCGGGCCCCCAAAATCTATTGCTTATACCGGGCCCCAAGGATGTCAAACTGGCCGGGACCAGGGCTAGGGCTTTTTCGGTGGCGGCTCCTACCTGGTGGAATGAGCTCCCGGGGGAGATCCGAGCCCTGCGGGACCTTGAGCAGTTCCGCAGGGCCTGCAAGATGGAGCTCTTCCGCCAGGCATTTGAGTAGGAGCCGCCGCCCTACTGTACCACCACCGTTAAGACATCTGAATGGATGCATTGATGGGGCCCCAGGAAGAACTTGGAATTACATCAGAAACGCCGTCGCCACTGGATATGTACGCTGAGAATACCAGCTCGAGTCGTGGGGATACCATCTTGGATCTAGGACACTAGTAACTGGATAGAGCACTTTAGTCTTAGTTTTGATGTTTTATTATATTTTTATATGTTTTTACTTAGTGACAGACTTCACGTTCCTGGGATCCCAAATCACCGCAGACTGTGAACAAATCACTGGCTCACAACTTTAAAGCCAGTAACTCACAAAGCAGAATTATTGCTCACAAGACTCCACAGCTTAGAGGGAACATTGAATTGCCATCTTGTTTTCAGTATCATACATAAAATTTTATGTTGCCTCCTTATCAATGCAAATTTGGGGGGTAGTTCAAGGGTAGATTGGACTTGGGGGGCTCCATCCTTCTGTCTTGTTTAGTTTATAACACTTTATTGCCTCCAGGATTAACTGAAATTATAGGGGACAGGATAGCCCAGGGCCCTCGGCTGTGTTTCTTCTTATATCCATAATCTCTGCACGCACATGTTTGAGATGGTTAGACAGTGTCAGAGATGCAACGAACATGAAACTGAGCAAACTTCAGAGGACAGCGGAAGACAGGAGGGCCTGGCGGGATCTAGTCCATGGGGTCGCGAAGAGTCGGACTCGACTGTGCGACTGAACAACAACAAGACTAATGATCTGGCCTCTGTTAGCCACCCTGAGCCCACTGGGGAGGGTGAGATATAAGTGTAATAAATAAATAAATACACAGAAGTATTTTTAATAATGCAAAATATACACTTGTCCAGCAGTTCTAATGAATATCTTGGCTGTTCATTGCAAGTACTGTGTGATGCTGCTTTTATTCGCATGTACTAATGAGGTGGCTTGACCAGTATTTCCCAGGCATATTGCAAAGCACTGAAACGCCTCTTTGTGCACAACTACAAACGCACGCAAATCCCAGATCTGACAGTTTGCCAGTCCCCAACGTTAAGCCAACTTACCACTGCCGCGGCACTCTTCATGTCTCTCCATGTGGCAACAACGCTCAATGTAGCGGCAACAGTCAAGATGCTACTCAGACATATTCCAGCATACAAAACTGAGGAGTGGAGTAAACATATACAAATAAGTGCGCAAAGTACTGTAATGTTTAAGAAATGTGACGACTCTCCCGTTGTTGCTTCTACCCTCGCCTGACAGAGTTACATTACAGAAAGACTTGCCTTATAAAGCAACAACCTGTCTTGTTACCAGTGTCTCGTGCATCTCTGAATTATGTTATGTCCCAGACTCTAACATCATTGCCCAAGTTGCATACGAGGGAGGGTTTTCTTGTTTTTGTTTTAAATATCCTGACTATCTGAGAAAGGATGTTCCTCACAGCCTACAACAGTACTTAAACTGAAGAGCAAATTGGAGGAGATAATGAGGCTACTGACAAAATCATTCTGACTTGTAAACCGAGGAGAATTCTGAACAATAATGATTGCACAGGATGTGTGGGATTTTGAGGTAGCACTCCAGTTACCAAATAAGAGGCCCCATCTTAGATCTCAGATCTGCTGCTGGCTGTGATTTCCCTTTGGCCTACAGAAGTTGGTAGATTAAAGAAAAAAAAGTTTAGCACTGCCTAATGATTTCTTGATTTTAACTGATTAATCTTCTACCTTTTAGTTGATCCAACTGAGGTACACTTGTGTATTGCCAAAACTTCAGTGTGTCATTTTTTCTGAGATATTACACTTTACAGAAACTGTTTTAGAAGGAATCTGTTTTAGAAGGAAACAGGCTGCTGTGGCTCAAGTGGTTAAGATGTTGAAGCAGTTTGAGACCCGAGTGCTGCATGACGGAGTGAGCGCCCGTCTCTGGCCCCAGCTCCTGCCAACCTAGCAGTTCGAAAGCAAGAAATTGCAAATAGATAAATAGGTACCGCTTCGGTGGGAAGGTAACAGCGCTCCATGCACCTCGGTGTCTAGTTGTGCCAGCCACATGACTACGGAAACATCTTTGGACAGCGCTGGCTCTTCGGCTTGGAAACGGAGGTGGGCACCGCATCCCTAGAGTCGGATTTGACTGGCTTTTGAGCAAGGGAAACCTTTACCCTTTACCTTTATTATTATTCCCCATTCTCTTTATTAGTGTACCACAAGAACCAAAATAGTCTCAAAAAACAAATCTCAGCTCCACCAATTGAAATGTCCATGAATTAAAATTGGACCGCACTGATTAACCAGTCAGAGCTTTAGCTGATTGATCAGTTAGAATCAATCTGGTGTAGTGTTAAACAGCTGCAGACTAGGATCCGGAAGACCCAAGTTCAAATCCTCACTCTACCACGGAAACTTGCTGGGTGCCCTTGAGCCAGTCACACTCTCTCAGCCTAACCTACCTCACAGGGTTGTTGTGAGAATAAAAATAGAGGAGAGCAGGAGGTAAGCCGCTTTGGGTCAGCATTGGGGAGGAAGGCAGAGCATAAATAAATTCAATAAACAAACAAACAGTGAAAGGGATCGAAGTGTGCGGCTGTAAAAATAATGGAGCCAACAAAACTTTAGTTCATAGCGCATTCTCGGTGTTCAAGGCACTTCATATATGTTATCATAGTTATCCTACAGCCCTGTAAAGTAGGCCAGTATTGTTATTCTCATATTACAGGTAGGGAACTGAGACCGAGATAAACTTGCTGCTGCTACCTAGTGTGCTTGGGCTGAGATGAAATTTGAACCAGTAACCATCATAATATACCATCTTAACTACTAGGATAACACCAACGGTAATGGAGATAAAGCATAGAACATCTAAGATCCGTTCCACATTGGGCCTGTATGTCTAGGAATTTCATTATTGAGGCAGGGGTCATTTCCTGCCGGAGCGTGGTGGAGAGGTGCTCCGGCAGTAAGGAGCCTGGGGTGGCCTCCCCGCTGGAGAAGGGGAGGGGAGGTGGGCAGACATGGCCCCACTTTCTCCTGAGCCTTTCCACTTTTGCGGAGAAATTTGGGGGAAGGTGGAGGGTTAAATGCCTTTCTTTCCCTTCCCCATCTGGGGAAGGGAAAGAAAGGCATTCTACACATGCCTGCCCTTTGTCAGGGGGTGTGGCATATGCAAATGAGTCATGCAAATGAGCTCCTGCACGTCTTTTTCTACGAAATGACCCCTGTGTCGAGGAAATTACTGCTGTATGTCTGTCACCACCATCCCAATGGCCCTGCCACCATCTCAGAGGCTTGGTCTGGAATGCCACCGCTTAGCAGGCCTCCGGGGGCTTCCTACGCCTGCACTGAAGTGCAGTTTCAAAAATAAGACTATTTAAGTAGCAAATGAAAAAAATAGCAAGAATGTAAAAAGCAGAACCCTTCCCTGCCTCGGCATCCAATGGGGTATTTGAAGTTTTGCATTGTGGCATTGAAGAGAAACACGACTCAGGATTTATTATTTTCCAGAGTTTTCAGCACTTACCTAAACTGCGAAAGGTTCTGATGGGGTTTGTTTCCAGTGAGACTTTACTTATGACGATGAAGCGCTCCTCATGGTAGGTGATCATGGTCAGGATAGCTATCGATAGCCCAAGCAGCTGAAGAGAGAAAAGGAATCAAGAATAATAGGCTGCAATCTCATAAATATTTGTTTGGGAATAAATACATTTCTTCCGAACGTCTGTTTACCAGAAAGAAAGCTAGTGTTTCTCCACCTGTACCATCACCAAAAAGGGGGAGTATTTTAAATCCACGTAACAAGGAGCTGCGGTGACTCCAGTGGTTAAGACGCTGAACTGCAGGCTGTGGAAGGTCAGTAGTTCAGCAGTTCGAGACCCGAGTGTACCGCATGACGGAGTGAGCTCCCGTCTTTAGTTCCAGCTCCTGCCAACCTAGCAGTTCGAAAGCAAGAAATTGAAAGTAGATAAATAGGTACCACTTCGGTAGGAAGGTAACAGCCTTCCGTGTGCCTTGGTGTTTAGTCATGCTGGCCACATGACCACGGAAATGTCTTTGGACAGTGCTGGCTCTTTGGCTTTGAAATGGAGATGAGCACCGCAACCCTACAGTCAAACTCGATTGGCTTTCGAGCAAGGGAACCTTTACCTAACAAATTACAGAGAGTAATAAAAAACCTTTTGTGCAGAAACTTTTTTTGGGGGGGGGTTCTTGTCTTTCTTTTGGGTAAATAAGGGTAAACTTGGATAGGCTTGGACTGTTACACCACTTCCTGACTAGTCCTGTGTTGGTCTCGTCTGGGGATTTTCCAAACCTATTTCATGCTATATAAATACAACGGGATGCTAATCACTTCTGAAGCCTTGGTGCAGAACCCGTGTAGAGACATGCAACATACGAAAGCACTCTACCATTCTAGCCTAGTTACTTGGAGAACCAGGGCTACCTGTGAGCACAAAGAAAACTGCAGGTCATAGCAAAGGAAGCCCCGGATTGCATGACCCGAAAGAATAGCCCAGGGGTGGCCAAACTTGCTTAACGCAAGAGCCACATAGAATAAAGATCAGATGTTTGAGAGCCGCTAGGCATGAATAAATATCACACACATGTTTTTATTGAAAATATGCAAATTTGCTTTTTATTGACATTAAATGAGACTCCCAAAAATAAAACCAAAAGGGGTAAAAACAGATATAACTTTAAATGTATCCTTCAACCCCCACCCTCCCACCTGCCCCCTGCCGGCTTGTTTGGCAGTTTGGTGGAGTGAGCCAGTTTGGTGTAGTGGTTAAGTGCGCGGACTCTAATCTGGGAGAACCGTGTTTGATTCCCCACTCCTTCACTTGCACCTGCTGGAAGACCTTGGGCAAGCCATAGTTCTCATAAGACCTGTCCTTGAAAAAGAGCAGTTTCTGTCAAGAGCTCTCTCAGCCCCACCGACCTCACAGGGTGTCTGTTGTGGGGAGGGGAAGGGAAAGGAGTTTGTAAGCTGCTCTGAGACTCCCTCGGGTAGTGAAGGGTGGGGTATAAATCCAATCTCTTCTTCTTTTACCTCACAGGGTGTCTGTTGTGGGGAGGGGAAGGGAAAGGAGTTTGTAAGCCACTCTGAGACTCCTTTGGGTAGTGAAGGGTGGGGTATAAATCCAATCTCTTCTTCTTCTTCTACCTCTCAGGGTGTCTGTTGTGGGGAGGGGAAGGGAAAGGAGTTTGTAAGCTGCTCTGAGACTCCCTCGGGTAGTGAAGGGTGGGGTATAAATCCAATCTCTTCTTCTCCTCCTCCTCTTCTTGGCAAAGGGATTTAAAGAGACAAATGCCTTCTCCCAAGTTGGACGGCAGGGGTGAGGGCTTTGAGAATGCATTTAAAGTTAAAGTTGCTTTCTTTCTCTCCCCCCCCCGCCTCAAGCCTACCCAGGGAGGGGAACACTGGCTGGGGAAGGGAAGACCGATTGGGGAGACAAGCCTCCCCTTCGCTTCCCCAGCTGCCCTGCCGGGAGCTGCACAATATGTGTGAAAGAGCTGCATGTTGCTCCCAAGCCACAGTTTGGCCACCCCTGGAATAGCCCAAAGTACATGTTCTGTCTGACCAGCTGTGTAATAGATGCGAAGGTGAGGCATAGCCATGGGAGCTCTCTCAGCTGACCGATTAAAGAAAGAATGGGGAAACTGCTTTACTAAATTGCCTCCCGCACTGCCGAATCATTATGCTGACACCAATCTAAGCCAAATCAAACACTCTAGAGGTTTTTGGACCTGCCATAGCTGAAAGAGCAGTTTCTCTCAGAGCTCTCTGAGCCCCACCCACCTCACAGGGTGTCTGTTGTGGGGAGAGGAAGGGAAAGGAGTTTGTCAGCCGCTCTGAGACACCTTTGGGTAGTGAACGGCAGGGTATAAATCCAATCTCTTCTTCTTCTTCTACCTCACAGGGTGTCTGTAGTGGGGAGGGGGAGGGAAAGGAGTTTGTCAGCCGCTCTGAGACACCTTTGGGTAGTGAACGGCAGGGTATAAATCCAATCTCTTCTTCTTCTTCTACCTCACAGGGTGTCTGTAGTGGGGAGGGGGAGGGAAAGGAGTTTGTCAGCCGCTCTGAGACACCTTTGGGTAGTGAACGGCAGGGTATAAATCCAATCTCTTCTTCTTCTTCTACCTCACAGGGTGTCTGTAGTGGGGAGGGGGAGGGAAAGGAGTTTGTCAGCCGCTCTGAGACACCTTTGGGTAGTGAACGGCAGGGTATAAATCCAATCTCTTCTTCTTCTTCTACCTCACAGGGTGTCTGTAGTGGGGAGGGGGAGGGAAAGGAGTTTGTCAGCCGCTCTGAGACACCTTTGGGTAGTGAACGGCAGGGTATAAATCCAATCTCTTCTTCTTCTTCTACCTCACAGGGTGTCTGTAGTGGGGAGGGGGAGGGAAAGGAGTTTGTCAGCCGCTCTGAGACACCTTTGGGTAGTGAACGGCAGGGTATAAATCCAATCTCTTCTTCTTCTTCTCTACCTAACCATACCTATCCATCCATTCTGCTTGATGCCTCTCACAACCATGTGTGGGGGCGCATGCCAACTGGCAGGACTGAACCGATAATGGAACTCAACCCCAGCCCAGGGAAGGAAGTGGCTTGTGTAGAATAAAGGAAGCCTCCCTGTTCCTCCCTTGGTGACTAACACAACATCTTGCAATCCCTTCTCGGCTTCACTGGCTACTACTTGTGTATAGATTGGGGCAATGCTGTTTTTGTAAACAAAAAAGTGCCAGTAGTCACATATAAGGTCCCACTGATTCCCACTAATTCCTCCCTCAAGACTTGGGAGAGCCTCCCCAAAAGGTGCTTGGTACTCAGTACCAGTGAGTATTATTACAAACAACAATGACAACCCTGGATTAGGGGAAGGAGGGAGGGTATATTCCTTCCCTTGCCAAGGTACAATCCCGGAACAAGACTTCTCCTGCACACTTTGACAAAATCCTCAACTTTTTTCACTATACTGACATTGGGTAAAGGTAAAGGTTCCCTTGCTCGAAAGCCAGTCGAGTCCGAGTCTAGGGTTGCGGTGCTCATCTCCGTTTCAAAGCCGAAGAGCCAGCGCTGTCCGAAGACGTTTCCGTGGTCATGTGGCCGGCATGACTAAACACCGAGGCGCACGGAACGCTGTTACCTTCCCACCGAAGCGGTACCTATTTATCTACTTGCAATTTCTTGCTTTCAAACTGCTAGGTTGGCAGGAGCTGGAACTAGAGACGGGAGCTCACTCCGTCATGCAGCACACTCGGGTCTCGAACTGCTGAACTACTGACCTTCCACAGCCTGCAGTTCCGCATCTTAACCACTATATAAAAAGCACATGTTCCTGAAGCAACAATGGAAAGCGGAAGAGGGACCTGAAAAAGTGGAGGAAAATAAAGATGCAGACGAAGAATAACAAGAAGAGAAGGATGGGAAGGACTCTGATACCATCTCGATTAGTCTGGCTGACCCATTTGATCCTGAAGTAGAATTAGGGGTTGTTACCCCTAAAGCATTTAAAAATTAATTTGGACTTTGACAGGAGGAGAGGAAAATGCAAAATGGTTTAATTTCGATAACCCGATGCTTATTCTTAATGCATAACTTTAAACCAATGATATTTACACGATTGCCAAAGGGATTGTGATGGTTTGCTTGACACCTTCGTATTATTAATTCTCATATTTTACTTTTAAGATAATAGAGATGTATCGACAATCTTATATTTCTGTACCCTGGATACTCGTTTCTCTTTCTTTTAGGTTGTTCCCTCCCCCTGACCCTGTAGGTTTGTAGTTTAGAAAATAAAAAAAAAATTGAAAGACAAAAGAATGTATAAGATGGTTCAGTTTTCCATTCGAAGCAGATGCCTATGGGAGAAAGTTTTGTTTTAGGCGGTCTTTAAATTAAAAATGACCAACCCCCCCCTCCAATAATCTAAAACTGTATCTCTCCAGATATCGGGGGTGGGGGGGATATTTCAGACACGGTAAGCTTTTACAACACATTTTTTTCCTAAGCAAAATAGGACCAGTGGTGTTCTCAAGCTCCCCCCCCTCCCCAGCCTATTGAGAATGCAAGATAGCAAACCCACAGAGAAGAAAAGGCACTGCTGCAAAGTAGTGATAACAGCCCAAGACACATTGCCATTTCAATAGTGCTTCCTGCATTTGCAAAACTTAAACATTTGTTAACAAAATTAAGTTAAGACCTCTACTAACAATACAGACAACCTGTTCAGTCGACACAATTTCTGCACAGCTCCCCAGTTTGTTACCGTAACAAAGAGACTGGCCACCAGTAGCTGGCACTTGGTAGCCTGGACCCAGCGGCATTTCTGTCCCATGCCTCCCTCTTCTCTCTGCTGACTGGAAGTCAGTTTGCTGAGAAGGGCTGGCTTTCAGTTAGTGCTTGCATCATCACAGGTTGGGAAATGTAGTCCCATAACACATTTCTCCAAGAGACGACACATTTTAAGGATACACTAAAAAAGAAGGTTTTTCAAAACCTTACATGAGCCTAAACATGAGCCTGCAGTGCGATGTGGCTGCAAAGAAAGCTAATGCAATCTTAGGATGCATTGTGTCCAGATCAAGGGAGATGGTAGTTCCGCTCTATTCTACTATGGTCATGCTTCACCTGGAGTACTTGGGGAAACCACTAGGCCATTCAGAGTTGACCTAGATCAGATCCCTGATAAATATACAGTGGAGATGAAGAATAGGTTTAAGGGACTAGATTTGATAGACAGAGTGCCTGAAGAACTATGGACTGAGGTTCGTGACATTGTACAAGAGGCAGCAATCACCACCATCCCAAAGAAAAAGAAATGCAAGAAAGCAAAATGGCTGTCTGATGAGGCTTTACAAATAGCAGAGGAAAGAAGGAAAACAAAAGATAAAGGTGAAAAGGAAAGATCTACCCAACTGAATGCAGATTTTCAGAGAACAGCAAGGAAAAATAAGGATTTCTTGAATGAACAATGCAAAGTAATAGAGGAAAACAATAGAATGGGAAGGACTAGAGATCTCTTCAAGAAAATCAGAGAAATCAAGGGATTGTTCCATGCAAAGCAGGCCATGATAAAGGACAAAAACGGTAGGGACCTAACAGAAGCAGAAATGATTAGGAAAAGATGGCAAGAATACACAGAAGAACTATACAAGAAGGAACTCTGTGTCCTTGACAACCACGACGGTGTAATCACTGACCTTGAGCCAGACATTCTGGAATCCGAAGTCAAATGGGCCTTAGAAAGCATTACTAACAACAAAGTTAGTGGAGGTGATGGTATCCCAGCTGATCTATTCAAAGCCTTAAAAGATGATGCTGTTAAAGTGCTGCACTCAATTTGCCAGCAAATTTGGAAAACACAACAGTGGCCACAGGATTGGAAAAGGTCAGTATACATTCCAATTCCAAAGAAGGGCAATGCCAAGGAATGTTCAAACTATCACACAATTGCACTCATATCACATGCTAGCAAGGTCATGCTCAATATCCTACAAGCTAGGCTTCAGCAGTACGTGGATAGAGAACTGCCAGAAGTACAAGATAGGTTTCGAAGAGGTAGAGGAACTAGAGATCAAATGGCCAACATTCGCTGGATTATGGAGAAAGCAAGAGAGTACCAGAAAAACATCTACTTCTGCTTCATTGAGTACGTTAAAGCCTTTGATTGTGTGGATCACAACAAACTATGGCAGGTCCTTAAAGAGATGGGAGTACCAGACCACCTCACACGTCTCTTGAGAAACCTGTATAAGGGTCAAGAAGCAACAGTTAGAACCAGATATGGAACAACTGATTGGTTTAGCATAGGAAAAGGAGTACTACAAGGATGTATATTGTCCCCTTGCTTATTTAATTTATATGCAGAGTACATCATGCAAAATGCCAGCCTGGATGATTTAGAAGCCAGAATTAAGATTGCTGGGAAAAACATCAACAACCTCCGATATGCAGACGATACCACTCTAATTGCAGAAAGTGAAGGGGACCTAAAGAGCCTCTTGCTCAGAGTAAAAGAGGAGAGTGCAAAGGTTGGCTTGAAGCTAAACATCAAAAAGACTAAGATCATGGCATCCAGCCCCATCACTCCTTGGCAAATAGAAGGGGAAGTTGTGGAAACATTGAAAGACTTCACGTTCCTGGGATCCCAGATCACCGCAGACGGTGACAGCAGCCATGAAATTAAAAGATGCCTGCTCCTTGGGGGGAAAACGATGGCAAACCTAGACAGCATAATAAAAAGTAGAGACATCACCCTGCCAACAAAAGTCTGCATGGTCAAAGCAATGGTATTCCCAGTAGTCATGTATGGCTGCGAGAGTTGGACTATAAGGAAGGCCGAGCACTGAAGAATAGATTCTTTTGAACTATGGTGCTGGAGAAGACTCTTGAGAGTCCCTTGGACTGCAAGGAGATCAAATCAGTCAATCCTAAAAGAAATCAACCCTGACTGTTCCCTGGAAGGCCAGATAAGGAAGCTGAAGCTCAGATACTTTGGCCACCAAATGAGAAGGGAGCACTCCCTGGAGAAGACCCTGATGCTGGGAAAGATTGAAGGTCAAAGAAGACGAGGACGGCAAAGGATGAGATGGTTAGACAGTGTCATCAAGGCAACGAACATGAAATTGAGCCAACTTCAGAGGACAGCGGAAGACAGGAGGGCCTGGCGGGAGCTGGTCCATGGGGTCGCGAAGAGTCGGACTCGACTGTGCGACTGAACAACAACAACAAAAACAAACTCATTTCCTTTGTAGCATGCCAAATGAATGATGGCTGCGGGTGGGTGAAGTTACAATAAAGAATCTACTGCTTTTGATAATACCACTGGTTCAGATAGAAAACTTGTATACATCAGGAGGAGGAGACAAAATATCATCTTTGCTCTTCCATGTCTTCATTTCTATAAATTCTAGAATAAATCAAGAAAAAATAATAAAGGAAATCCAGATATGGATTCACTTTGTCCACTAGAGGAGCTCAGAGACTAAGAGATTCCATTTGCTTCTCTACACAAGCTGCTGTGAAAGTTCTTTTTTAGTTAAAGAGCAGCTACATATGAGACTTAACAGAGTATAACTACGCCAGTTTGGTGTAGTGATTAGGAATGCAGACTCTAATTTGGGAGAACCGGGTTTGATTCCCCACTCCTCCACTTGCACCTGCTGGGTGACCTTGGGCAAGCCATAGTTCTGTCAGAGCTGTCCTTGAAAGGGCAGTTCTTGAAAGAGCTCTCTCAGCTCCACCTACCTCACAGGGTGTCTGCTGTGGGGAGGGGAAGGGAAAGGAGTTTGTAAGATGCTCTGAGACTCCGAGTGAAGGGCAGGGTATAAATCCAATCTCCTCCTCCTCCTCCCTCTTATAGTTCACCTTTTTCACTGAGGCTGAAGGCAGATTACAAAACTGAAAACAATGTGATAAGAACAGTATAAGACACAAAATAAACAGTATAGTCAGACTGGTTTATGAAGTTAGCAAGACTCATGGGGGATTAGGGGTGCCAGCCTCCAGGTGGGGCCTGGAGATCTCCGTCTTTTACAACTGATCCCCAGTTGACAGAGATCAGCTCCCCTGGAGAAAACAGCTGCTTTGAAGGGTGGACTCTCTGGAATTGTACCATGCTGAGGCCCCTCCCCTCCCCAAACCCTGCCCTCTCCTGGATCCACCCCCAAAGTCTCCAGGTATTCTCCAAACCAGACCTGGCAACCCTATGGGGGATCCCATCCTCCTCCGACTTGTTCACTGAGCTGAGGCATGGCTCCCTGAACCCCCTCGCTTTATCCCTGGGCCTGGTGTGGCTCCAGGCCACTGTGGCTCCTGGACTTTGCCACTCCTGACACAGGAGCTGTCTTTTATTTGGGTGTTTGTTTGGATTTAAACCATCCACTTTTTTTTATTGTTTTCAGATTTTTTCTGAAAACCTGGAGGGGGTCCCCCAAGTTTGAAGAACTATCTGTTTTCTGTCAGTGTGGCCCCAATCTGCTGATTTAAGTATCCACAGATGGGCCCACACTTGAATATCATCATAATATATAAAGCTGTTTTGGTTGTGGACTCCCGACATGCTCCCAAATCAATACGCTGCGAGATCTGTCACTCACAGACTGTCGTCAATAACAATGACACATTTAATAAATGTAACATGAAAACCAAGTCCAACTTATTCAATATCACAATTTTACATGTAAACAGAGTCCAACTTATTCATTATCAACAGAGTCCAGTATATTCCTCTATTACTCAATGAGTACACCGGTATTTATACTCATTTCAGCTATCTTTCTCAAGAGTAATCTTACAAAGTTCTTATGAAGTTGGAGGATGTTGTCTTCTATGGATTATCAGTTCCATTGCATTTCTAATATAGGAGCAAGCCAATAATTTAAATGTCTATTCGTAGCAGCCAGTCCATAATTTTATGTGGCAACAAGCCTACTGTAAATTGGCTGGTATTCGCTCTCCATGTCACATTGTTGGCCAGTAGCTCTCTATGAAGTAAA